TCGGCATTAGAATATGAATGCGTCCTTTTCTTGTTCAGCAATCGTGAGGTTGTTAAACAGCATACATTTACTTCCATAGGAAAACAATACAATACAACAGTAGCTGACGTTTCGGCAGTATTGTCTTCTTCAGAGCCGCTTTTTCTTTCCTGACTTCCAGTGAGGAAAGTTAGAACGGCCGATTATAGTCGCATATGGTTGATGACTGCACCATCCCACATCAGAAATTGATGTGAACATACGGTGTCAGGTCGCGTATGACCTCCTGGGCATTCATCTCTGCCTATTTTATGGCATGGGTAATAACGAGTTCGATCCCTACCGCAGACACTCGCGGTTTGGGAATTTTGCAAACATTTCAGTAACATTGTGTTTTTTATATTTCACATCATATCCTGCCATGAAAAACAGATTAGGCCGTAAATAAAAAATGTGATTTACACAGCACCTTCAACTTAATTGAGTTCAGTGCCCATTTGTGCTTCCAAACCAATTCCGTTGATAAGTGATTGTTGATGGCACCTGTAAAACAGGGATGAAAGAAAGGCGAAACAAAGGACCCACATAATATGATGGTGAACGCGTTATCCGCCGGATAGGGTAATAGCGTGTTCGATCCGTAACACAGACACATGCGGCCCGGAGTTCCAGCTTAACTGTATTCGATGCCGATTTGTGCCCTCCAAATCGTTGTCTGAGAGTTATCCTATCCGTCTCAACTTGGCAGAAGAATAAGGGAGACCTCAGTACGCTCAATGCAGTCACAAGATTATAAGAATATCTCCCACGACCGTCTTTCTATTAACCTCTGCATTGATCGAAGAATTCTTTATATTCTTGTTGAGCAAACGCGAGGTGTTATTTTATTCTTTATTCAAGAATAAGATGACGTTTCGGCGGATTTTGCCTTCTTCAGACCCTGGAAAGGTCAAGTTGACAGCAGTCTACCCGGCCAAACACCTCCATAACCAAACAGAGAGAACGCTAAACCAAGATTTCAACACGCTCACCGCTTTCTATGAGTCTTCCACTGAATCTGTCACGTGGAGACCAACCGCACAGAGTGTACATGGAACCATTATGTGCCTCTCACATCAGAACAACAGTTTTAAATACTCCCCAATATCACGCGTGGTTATGAGGCATTCCTCTCTGCGGTTCATTTTCGGATTATTGGAATTAATCCAGAATGCTTCAAGAATTTTGCGCGCTTGTGTTTTCGACTCCTGTGTGAGGATCGTAATTTCTGTTTATGGCCACATTAAGAAGTGGTACCAAAAGACAAGTAGTAAAAACATCTTGGTTCATTACCTCTCCTCTCACCCCTCACACGAAAAGGGCACTTTTGAGGAACATGTTTCGAACAGTCATTAGCGTGTGCACAGGAAGAGGGCAGAAGGAAGAATCCCGGGAACTAGCGCGTTAAATAGCCATTTCCAGTGGCTACGAAACTATAGCTCTTAAGGATAGGTGTAGAGGAAACCATAAGCTCCCAAACGACAACTGTAGCGATAGTATAGATTGCTGTCAACTTGACCTTTCCAAGCTCTGAGGAAGGTGAAATTTGCCGAAACGTCAGCTTGTTCGTGAATGAAGGGTAAAATAACACCTTGCGTTTGCTCAACAAGAATATAAAGAATTGTAAGAATATCTATGCCATAAACTGCAATATAAACAAACAGTCGCTCCTCGTATGCAATAACTATGGGGAATGAACAATCAGAAAACAACATTGCGTCTACAATAGTTGTTTTATGGAGTCTTCGACCGAGATCTGGCGCAGGTAGTACCGATAGATCCTGATGCACTTAAAAAACATTGGATGACTGTGTGGCAGAGATGGCATATACTTGAGCTATGGAAAACAAAGATCTGTAAGAATAATTAACAGAAAAGAGCTAAATACTTACTAGTCTCTTTGAAATCAACATGTCACATAGTCCGCGTCCCCACCTTCTTCTTAATCCTTCTGAAGTGCTAGTTGGTCGAAGGCGACCCTCAACCCTTAGAACCGGCAGTCATTGAACGGGAAAACTGCGACGAAAAAAAAGATAGCTAAGGAACAAGAAGTAAGTAAAGGAAAATCGGATATTCATCAGAAGAGTCATTATCAGTAACTAGCCAGAGTTTATCGATGGCTAGATCGAGTTCTTCAATTCCAGCAATAATTATACTCTACAGAACTAAACTTTCGACCAATCAATAATGATGAACGAGGATCTTATATCTTAGGAATATGTAACGTGCCACTGTCAAGGCATGGAACTCATAAGCAACGCAGACGAGACTATTTCTATCATCAGAATATTTATTCGCAGCGTTTTCAGTTATTCAGTAGTTCTGATGGTCATTCATTTCCTTCAATGTGTCGGCCGTCCACCGATCTTACCTAATTTGCAAAGGCTTTTCCAAGTAAGATATTTTTCGAATGTTTTCTTACAGAACGTCCACCTGTTCACTATGTTTTCCGTCATCTACAGTTAATTATTCGGATGTTAGCCCAAGCGCATTAACAAGGCCCAAGTAAGATACCGTCTGAACGCATTTCAACAAAACATCTACCTGTCCAGTATTTTTTTTTGCGTGTGATAATGAATTATTGACTTGTTTATGTCATTGTTTTTACTTTCATTATTACTTAGAGTGTCTATTCTCTGGTAGTTTTAGACCAGTATGTTCAGAACACAAACTGCCTAATTCGTTTTACCATGATTCTAGACTTTGGCGGCGACACTTTTCCAGGCGATTACCCAAGTTTGCAATATATTTCTTTCTGCCTTTTTGTTTCGAGTCTCATAAGTGTGAGCTTTAATATTTGTGACCTTTGACTGAATTCATCAGATCCTTTTTCATGCTAAAGTTTGCTTTTATAAATCATCTCCTGTTTTTAATGCTTGGGAGAAATAGCCTTTCGGTGGCGGAACTGTCTGTGTTGTCTCTCGATTTTCAAGATATCAATGTTTTGCTGGCTAAGATTAAGTGGTTGATGTGCGTTTCAAATTGAATGTGACGAAAACGTGATAATTATGACCCCATAATCGATTAATCTAAAAAGGAGTGATTTTCTTAATACTTTTGAGTATAGAAGTTTACTGTCTGTGATGATTACCTGAGAATGCCGTAATCCTGTTATCTCGTAATTCTATGGGACATAGGGATCGATAAGCAATTCTTTCAATATGGCAGTGAGGATAGAACACTCTTCGTGCTCAAAACTACGTTCATGTAGCAGCTGAACCATTCTATAGCTACTGGGCCATGAAACAAGTAAAGAAAGTTCGAAGTTCCGCAGATCTTTCCAAGACAAGTCACCATTGGCGAATATATCAATATTAGTCGATTATTTCAGATTTGAAGTCGACGACTGAACTATGCGTTGCTCATATTCACGCAAGGAACACCTAGTTGTGTTTGAAGAAAACAAAAATCCTCTACATACCAGAGGTATGGTAACTAGTTCGATCTCACTCAGCTCAGTAAACCCTCAATTTTTGTGAAAGAGTAACTTGACATCCTGTAAAAGTGGTAAGTGATATTGGCTGACTATATATTAGTGCGGGTGCGTGTAGCGCAATGGTCGGAGGTCTTCTGCAATACATTTGGGGTCGATTCCCGCATCCATGGCCCACCAAGACTTCCATCACTCCGGGGTCGGCAGATTGGTACCAGATTTGTCTGAGAGGATGGCAGCTCTGGCTCGATACATTGGCAGGCCACCGTGAGTCATTGTAAAGGCCAGATATGCATCCAGTCACCTCCAAACGACGCTTAATGAAGTCGATTGTATGGCACATCCTTTAGGGATTGATCAACGCCGAGAGCTTTATCTTTTTATACATTAGTGGTGTTGGGTGATTGCTTTAGAAGACGGTTTTCAAAAGTGCAGAAAATTATGAGATTGAAGACCGTTTCCAAGCATGCAATGCAATAGATTATATCCCTAACCACGTACTTTGTTGACGTCCAGAGCTTCTCGGACACAGTTTATAATTCTGCTGTCTCTAACTATACGTCATATAACTTACATGCATTGAATATCTCTCGGTAGCTTACTTCCCCTATATCAAGATCTTTTTGAACGTCATGTTTTAGTATTTATTGCTCGAAAATAAAGCCCGAAAGGGCGTTGTTTGCAAATTCATAAGTGTAGAGAGCGAGTTTCACTTCTCCTGTTTCTATGTGCTTTTGACTGCTTATCAAATGAATATACTTGCTGCAGTAATAAAAATTACGAAATCTACTGAGCTAATGATGGATGCCATAGTGTCCAGATCGGGCTTAGTGGCTTAGTGACGATAACTACGCGAGCATTCAATGTTTGTCAACAGCCTAAATGTTGATACTAGATTGTGTCGCTACCACAATGTTCATTTTTGTAACGCATAAAATATTGCCAGTTCTCTACCTTTACTATTACATGACCAGATTTTCCAAGATTCTTACTGGCATTTAAACAACTTCATAGATAAAAACTTTATTCTTGGGGAAAGAGGCGGTAAACTGGAGGATTACAACAGATTATAAAACCTGAGCAAAGTTGTAGCCGTATTTGATGAAGAGTTTGAGTAATTAACTGAATATGTTTGACTTCTACAATAAAAAAATCTGCCAAATCATTACATACGGTCGGGATCAAACGGGAAATCACTTTACCTACCTTGTGGGCTGGAATTCTCTTCGACTATGAGATCTATATCGATTTTTTAGGAAAAAAATGGTTGCAACAGTGAATAGAGTGAACAACAGAACTACGTCCAAGCGATTTTCAATTGTTAATAAGTTGCTAGTATGTCTGCTGAATAAAGAAGAACAATATGGACAAATAAACACAAAAAGTTAATAACATGTGCATTAGGTAGTAAAAATAACCCAACGATAGTACGAAATAACAATTCAGGACTAGAAAGCAGTTAAAAGGTCATAACTGTGACGATTAGAAAAGGTGGCAATTCAATATCGGTTGTAGAAATTTGTATAGAGAAGTCTAAAAATTTCTCAAATTACAATGCCAGACTTCTGCTGGTAGAGATTTCATCTTCAAGAACACGTTTAATCTGTCCAATATCACTGTTTTGAATCAAGTCGTCATTAGCGCTAATTCGTAAAAAGCCGTGAGGCTCGTAGATCCATTGTCTAAACGAAAAGTGCAGAATTCGAAATAATACACCATGAACAGTTTTGTTTTAAAATTTCTGAAAAGAAAAAAGGAACAAAATAAATGAGATCGAAATTGGAAATCGACATATTGCATCTGACAACCATAATACACTGGTCAAGGCTACGTAGAATAAATAACAAAACATTTGCATTAAAAAAGGAACTATTCATGACTGCATTTATTGCTGAGATATCTGCAAAACTCCAGACAGCTGGTGCTTGCGGTGGAGACTGAACACTCTATAATCCTTTGCGGAGGCGCTTTTCGATAAGATGGCTGAGAGAAAGAGGTTAGCCCCTGGAAAGGGTAATAGCGCATTTGTTCCCCACCGCAGACACCTGCGGCCCGGAGTTTTGCAAATATTTCACCCTCACTACAGCTATATTTCACATAATACGCTGCCATTAAAAAACAATAGACAGTATATAAAAGTATATATATAAAGTATATAAAACAGTATATAAAAAGTGACGACATTGTACTTCTTGCACTTGAAAAACATACTTCGCAAGAATTTCATGTTCACCAATAAGACTCCATAACCGAAGTTTTTCGTTGTCCTGTAGATCAATCCCATAGCGCTTGAACAAATCATACAATCGAAGTGCAAGAGGTGCCAGTTTTCGTTGTTCTAAAGGTGCTAGTTTCAAAGTGACGACTAACGTCAAGCGTAAACATCATGTGTGGAGAACGATCATACGAAATAAAAAAGAAAGCTGGAGATGGAAAATTTAAAGACTACCACAAGTACGAATCCAGTCTGCCTGAAGTTGTCGTATAGCCTCAATGTCCGTGCTAAGTGTAGTATATTTCAAACAGAGTTCAGTAAATTGTCGGATGAACTCTTCGTCCACCTGAATTGATCAGTTAAATGATTTGGCCAAATAAATAGTAAGAATATTCGAATTGACACCCACCATTTTTGCTTTTAAAGCGTTCATAAATCGCATTGCCATTATGCAGTCAAGTGGGTCGATTTCCGACTTAAACAACTTTATTACTCAAATCACTTTTCAACCAAACATCAAAATATATTATGGAAATGCTAAGAGACCAAGCAATTTCTTAACCATCAACGTTTCGATGATCTCATTGTGGCACTGCTAACGTCGAACAGATGAACCGATCATTTACCTTATGTTCATTCAAGTAAGCTGCAGCTTCATCCAAATGTTTGGTAGCTACAAGTACGGCCACATATAAACAATGGACACGTGATTTCGGCAAGAAGTTCTGAGCCTTATGCAACACTGAAATCATCACGAACAACGTGCCGATCACAAATTCTCTGCCGGCTTGTAACTCCATAGTTTCTGCTTTAAGTAGTATAGTAAGTAAACCTTACACGGTCGTATCGAACAACATAAATGAATAGAATCACTACTAAATGAAGAAGAGCGAACACATGAAGAAAAAGAATTTTTCAACATGACTCGTGCCTACTTTGTGGATGCCAGCACTTGCACACTCAATTCGTTTCCTCGCATCCATTATCCACAAACGTCTTCCAACTTTTACGTGTGGCTTCGGTTGCTGCTTATGTCGATTCTCCCTGGAGTCCTGGGATAGCCGCCGGGCTGGAGCGCCTCCAATTGGATTGCAGACAGTGATTTTTCCACGGACAAGTCCGGTACCAATTTCCAGCCCCGGCGAAATGACAGGCTTGGTTAGCGGGGAGTAGAACCAAACTAACACCATGCTCGTGATGACCGACATCACTGCCACTGTACTATCCGCGCCATTTGGAAAAGGAAAACAATACGTTCCCGAAAACTTCAATTAATAGTTACCACACAACTACCAACTCATTATTTTAGAAAAAAGATGGGCATGTTGGCTGCCCAACGCATACTTACCATATTGTATGTTGCGCTTAGAATTATCGGATTTCTGCATAATGCTATATCGCAATAGGGCTACAATGCCGTTAGAACAATACAAGCCAGACTGAAATTTCATCCATGTATTGACCGCTTCCTCCCATCCAAGTCTAAATAATCAGCTGTTGAGTAAACACCAAGGTACGTGTGAATGTGTTGTATTTACATAGAACTAGTGATATTACTTAACTTCTAAGAACGTTGCTAATGAATACAGATGTGAGTGTCTCACTTGGATGCAGCAGGAGAACCTCTAATTTGTTCAGTGTCCGCAGCAAGTCAATGCACTCATCAATTTTCTCCACTGACGGATTAGGAAGCCTCTGAGAAAAATTACTGAGTAGGTCTCAATCAAGAGTTTCAGAACGAACAAAATGGACTTCGCTAGATGAAATAAATACCAACTTCAAAACACCTTCCGAACAATTTGTTGTACTCGTGCAAAGTGTTGAAAAAAGTGTCGTAGTTTGCGACAGCTGAAATATTACTTGATACTCGATACTTGAACGACCCGTCCACACTAGTTGTGCAGGCCCCGGCATAATCACCATTTTTCGGAGAATTGTTCGTTAAGCCATTTTGGTTCACTAGATTCCCGAGGACAGCCTGGTCTAAGTCTGCCACAGGTCGTCATCACGACAGGCAGCCGCAGTCCTTGTAGATCAGAGGGAGATTTACCACCATGCCACTAATTCACTACCAGAACGGTGGTGGATCATGGTATCGGTTTAACCTTAACCGGGTTTCGTGATGGAAACGACGAAGTCCTTCGCAACCTGGGAGACCCTTGCTGGGCGGATGAATCTGCTAGCTGTACATCGCAGCCAGACACCCAGGAATAACTCCCAGCCACAACGAGGCGGTAAACCGCTGGTGGGCAATCTCGAATTAATACATAAAAATACGCAGTGCCAAATTACCAGGCGTGTGAAAAGTTGAACTAGTATAAACTATAAGAACTATACTAACCATCGGGAAATAGTCGGCGCAACTCATAAGAATAGTTTATAATTTTCCGCAAAGAAATTTCTTCGCCTTCATTCGACAACCGCCTGAGAATTTGCAACAAATGGTAGTTTTTGATAGGAGAATACGAAGGATCTTCTTCCTTTTGCCATCTTCCAGATTGAGACGATCTGAGAGATAAACTCATATTGAACCTGATCATTGTGATAACACAAATACATATACTTACAAAGAAATAAGCATTTTTTTGACATTTCCCCATTCTTCATGACTAAGATAAAGATCTAGAAGATCAGGTATAACTTCCTCGAAATTCGTATCATCAGGCCAACCATACGATGAAACAAAGGCATATACTTTCGATGAATCCTATAGGAATAATATCATTGTTAATAGGAAAAAAGGTGTCCATACTGCTTTGACTCAAACGAACAGAATGGCAGGAAAAAACTTTCCCTAAAAAAATCCTAAAGCATAAGTCCTTCTCTAAACAGATACTACATAAGCAGTCTGATTTGATGAATAACAATTAAATACAAGAGAATAAATATTTTTAACTTGGCTTTCTAAAGACCTCTGACTTGATATTTAACGCTCACCCGATCATCCACAAATTTCTTCAACCTGTCGTACGTTGTTGGAAAAATTGGACCTTTAACCGAACCTTTTTTATCGAGCTTGAATGTGGTTGTATAGTGTTGTTGTAACCATCTAAGAAAACTGTAAATAGACTCACAACCAGAGCACGCTCCGTTCACATTTATCAATATAAAGACTCTCTTTGATTATGCATTGCTCGCCGCCAAGTAGTTGAACATAATCAACAGAATGCACATTTGTAGTAGAGAAAAACTAACCCTTGCAATTCACCGGCCGACGGTCGTTTAGCTAACTGCGGGTTTTCCATACGTTTCTCACGAGAAGTTTGGTCTTGCCACCATGCGTATATGGTTTGCCATATCGAATCGTTGCCTACGCCATAACTTCGGAGTATTCTAGCCACCTTATCCAGTTTCGAAATACCTCCATGTGTGGACATCACCAGTTTATCTGGCATCCACTGTCATATCCTCTGTTCGAAAAAAAAGAAAAAGAAAAAAGAAGCTAAAACCAGAGGAGGGTGCAGACACACCGTAAATTGGCCTAAGCAAAAGGTGGGATAAAACGGAAATATCATGTTGTGACAAATCCTTATATCCCAAGTTGCAGCAACGGAAAATTAGTTTCAGTCGATCTTCCACATCATCTGTGCTAAAAGTGGACTCTTAAAAAATAGTTCTTCAAGATGAACTTTCAAAAAAATCAAAGAAGCAAACGTTGATACAAAACATTAAAAACGATCGTGTACAAACTGTTAATACTTTTAATACATCCGCAAAGACTGGTTTTTCGAGAACTAGAAAACTTTAAAACATCAAAACTGGAAATACTTCCTACGAACCAGCAAAACAGACTTCGTTCTACACAGGGTAGATACACTTTATATATATACATATTTGTATATGCATATGTATATGTGCACATATATATATATATATGTAAATATATATATAGAGGGTAAAACGTAAAGCTCTCGATGCTAATCAATCCCTTAGGAACGCGCCATGCATTCGACTACATTAAGCACAGCCGGGAGATGATTGAATGCATATCTGACCTTTACAATGACTAGCGGTGGCCAGCCGATGTATCGAGCCAGTGCTACTATCCTTCCAGGCAATTCTGGTAGCAAATTGTCGACCTCGGAGAGATGGAAGGCTTGGTGATAATGGTAATTTAACTTGGTATTTGGCTAAAATTCTAACATTGAAAGATTAGAAAAACAGATTTCTAAAATATTGAACGGAAAACGGCAGTCGCAAGCATCAACAATGCAATCATTGGGACTCCATAGTGCTCTACTTTAATAAGTACTACTCGTTCAGTCGCTTCAGTTTTCAGGAGTACTTCTGAATACATGTCTCTATGACAAGGATAGAAAGAAGAGGAAGGAGGAAAACAGATAAATATCAGACGGTTATAATTTCAATGTGGTAGAACCTGTATCTTGCTGGAAAAAATTCGGTAGCTCTCAATGATTTTCATTTCCCTTGAAAAAGAGAATCGCAGGTACGGAGGTCACCTGGGGCTCTGAGTTCTTTTCGTATATCAGCACCAAACTTTTATCAGGCATTAACAGTTAAAAGCCAAACTTTTGATTTCGAGTGCAGCTTCGGCTTAGATGGTTCAATGCCGACTTGCGCTCCTCCGATTATTCACGGTGACGAGTTATTGCATATAGCACCGTTAGAGTAAAAAGTGGCCGACAGAACAGCAAAACAAGGGGCTCGGTGATGCACTGCATAACAAGTGAACCTCGGAAAGGGTAATAGCAAGATCGAACGCCACCTGGAGATCCGAGTTTTGTTCATATCTTAGCATCATAGTGGTTGCATTTCACATATCCTGTCGTAGAAAATAGGCAATAAATAAAAGTTAAACATTGTGTTCCCATTTCAAATAACAAAATCCACTAGGATTTGAGACATATTCGCTTAAAATTGACGGTCAAGTAATTTTCGGTTATAGAGTTATACGGAGTTCAACTGACTCATTAAGAAAAAAATTACAAACCTGGTTAGCAGCGGTAATATCAAATGGTGTCGAGTTCGTTCCCTATCCACCATATCCACTAAGGCACTAACGTATTCCATTCTTTTATCTATACTAAACTCCTTGTACATAATGGCGGCGAATAGTAGATCATCATGAATCCGCGGCCTAAACATAGGTGAAAAATGATTTCTGTGCTCTTACGGAAGTGAATAAGAAAGAAAAAAGGTCATAATAAGATTACTAATATGATAAGAACAGCAGTATATTTTTGCGAACAAATCTACGCGTAGCATTTCCAACCATTCAACGATTTCGCGTGAACAGAGTCATATACTTCATCCAGTTTCCCGACTAATGCAAGCTCTATGCATGCTTTTACCAATAAATGGAATAAAAACGTAATCCAGAGAACAAAATTGTGATCATTTAAAAGAAGACACTTCGCATGCGTGAAGTGCGTCCTGTAACACACATGGCATCGACCCCGAGCGCTCGGTTCACAAAGACCTCCATCCCTACAAGATCGGCAAATTGGTGCCAGACATGCATGGGAGTATAGCAGCAGTGACTTGATAGCTCGCTAGGTCACAGATAGTCACAGTCACCAGATACACATTCAATCACCTGCAACGATGCTTAATGAAGCCGAATGCAGAGCGTATCCCTCAGAGATTGACCAACGCCGAGAGCTTTACCCATAAGTATCCTAGTTCCCATGTGAGTGAAACTCAGGCTCTCATTTTTTCTACAAAGATTACGGAAGCACTTAAGTAAGTAGACTTCGTATCAATCTGATGGTTCGATGCTCTGAAGAAAACGAAACCACCGAAACGTTCTTAAGTGTGAAATAAATATTGTCTAAAACAGTCTCTGTTGGCTCTAACTTTTTAATCAAAACGAAAGTTAGTCGAAATTCCGCCCAAGGAATTAAGCCCAACTCATTCGAGAGTGTTGAAAAGCAACATCGCTTGATCACAGGAAGAAGCCCTGCACGACAAGACAAATAACAAGAAAGAAGAACCAAAACAGAGAAAAAAAGGGAAACAGAAAAATAAATAACGGTAGCAACACCTTCGTCAGTAGACGTTGACAACATGGAAGAGAATTCTCAGAGAATAAATGGGGTATAAAGTGCTACTCACGCGTTTGGATGGTGCTGGAAAATAGCAACCACTCGGTTGGCGATATCGTTGATTTTCGCTACATTCACTTCATTACGAATCACTTGTCGGCTGAGTTGACTAATAATTTGGTTTAAAAAGACTGTAACGAAAATGTATGACTACTGGGGATATAGAATAGTAATAATAACACAAACACCCTCGAATTCTTTAAGTGAAGTAAAAGTTACAGTTGTGTCAACTTACGAGACTTCTGTTGGTTTTTTAAACAATCCGATACCCTATTTGTATCTTCCAGAAGAGCTACAGCTGTATAGTAGTGTTGGTGCATGATGTGCGTTTCAATTTCACGAATCAACAGTCGGAAAAATCCAGACCCATGACATGTATGATTGAGCATCTGGTTGAACGAATAGAACCATTCGGTCGAAGCTTCCTTCATTTATATGAAATAAGCACCTGCTCCGTGAGATTGACAAACTCCGCTCCATCTCCGTCTAAGCTTTTTTCTGATAACAGCCAAATAGTTTCCAAAATATCGCTTGCGGAAAGAATAAGTTTGCGTTCCTCCCCAACAACTGCGCGTCGTAGAACCTAGGAGCAATCTTCTGGAATTTTAGCAACTACTGATGCGAACGTTGCTGGTAATTACGAAAGTAACAGACCTGTAACATATCTAATAAACATAAACTTCATAGGAAAGGCTAACCGAGGATTTTGGTTTCAGCTCATACATGGGTAGGGCGTCTGATACTCGGGGTGCCAGGCACTGGACCAGAAGAAGCGGCGTCTTCCCTCGGTGGATGCCCCAGAGAGGCCTCACGAAACTTTTGGTTTTGGCTCGACCATGGTTTCGGCGTCGTCTGCTCGGAGTATCTTTTGATGCTGGGAGTGAGACCCAAGGAAGTGAGGGCTCGCTTCGATGTACACCCCAATGAGTCTGCTCCAACATCATAAACTTCATAAAGAAGATGAAGGAACAAACAGATCAATTCCCTACCGTCCTAAGCCGATTCAAATCTGCACGAGCAGCAGCAGCTTTAGCGCACGCTCCTTGAGAGCTCGAAACAGCGTCCGCACCATACTTTCTCAGAGCCTGCTGTAATTTATACTCAATACTGAAAGTTAAGAAAGATTGTGATTGAAAACTTTCTGGGTAGTAAAGTTAAAACACACAACCTCAACTAGTGAGTCAGCCTTTGCATGATGTCCTCTGACCGCAAAGCAATACACAAGTGCATCATTACAAGCACTGTCCACCAGGAAACCACGTTTAGCCATTTCATACACCTTCAACAAAAAGATAACGAAAGAGTTGTTTTGATAACAAAACAGTTAGAATAGTTATTGGTGTTTTATGCTAAAGTTACAACATGATGAACACTTATTGCGAAAAGGCCACCACACCATTGTTCTACATCCTTCGACATCGCCCGACCGAGCAAGGCTAGTAAGGAGAAGCTGAAAGGTGTGCTGGTCAGGAGACAAATTCCTAAATGAAAAAGGGAAAAAGTTGCGCTTGAAATTCCAGGAAACAGCAACCTTAAGCGAACTAATAAGTACCGCTTTTCTTCAACATCAGAGAGCACTTCAAATGACGCGAAGTGAGAGCCATTCTCCAGTAGAGATGACAATAGCGCGTTCATGGATGTAATAGTTATTGGGATTTCTAAAATAGCTAAGAAAACTTGCGAGCAAAAAAAAAGATATGACAGTCACCAGGTCGAGAGCCTAAATAATTTAATAAGCATTCGGAAGTAAACCGAAATTGACTGAAATCCTACTTTTTCAACGAGTTCAGCTGTCATTTACTTAAAACTCAAATGTGATACTACGGCCTGACCCATACCTCTGTTGTTCACTTCGTTCCAAAGTCGTGCTAAAATCTGTTGCCGAGACGAGTTTGGCACATTAGAAGTAGCCTTTCCACAAGCTCGAAGCAGCATCGGAAGCCATCGCTCGGATGAACGTTTAAGTGTTGATATGAATGCCTCTTAACTACATAAAATATAATCATGATACATCTGCACCTACAAAATACAGTGGAAGAAGAACCATTCTAATCATACCATCACCCTTCTCTAATCTCTTCACGACGTCGAGAAATACAGTGCTCGCCGAAATTCGATAGTTTCGCCGGAGGCTTTCTTGTATTTGTGACAAGACCGTTTCAGGAAAACGAGCTACCTCTTTCTGGAAACAAGACAAAGGAAAAAGTAGAATAAAGTTAATAGATGAAAACCATAACTAGACATGCCTTCGTATTTTTTGCAGGAACACCCCTGAAATCGGAACGATTTATAAGTCTATTCTCATCGGTGAGTTCAAGATCCGACCAAGAACCAGAACAATAGGGAATCACGACTGTGCCGCTATTGCGTAAAAATATTCGATAATTGTGAACTGACCCATACCTTAAGAAAAATAACTACTTATACAGCCTTCAAAGATACTTCAAAAATAAAAAAAAAGGATAAAGCTTCCAGCGTTGATCAATCCCTTAGGGATGCGCCATCCGCTCGACTTCATTAGCCATCGTTTGGAGATGAGTGAATGCACATCTGGCTTTTACAATAACTTTCGGCGGCCTTCCGATATATCGAGGCAGTGCTGCTATTCTCCCAGACAGGTCCGCTACCAATTTGGTGACCCCGGAGGGATGGCAGGCTCGGTGACCCAGGGACGCGGGTCGACCCCATGTGTATTGCAGTGCGCCTTCGACTACTGCACCACATGTGCCCATAATGGCTTCATACCAAAGCAAAACAATGATGATTAGGTGCTACCAATTACTACTTGAGTAATTTCAAAGGTAACCAAACAGAAAAGCTTCATAAACTTCCGTTTAAAGCTCACCGCTTAAAAAAGCTTAGCGATAGGAAACACAGCATCAACATGTAGATTCTCCACTATCACAAGAATCTAAAAACTAATGGTCAGTATCGAAAGCACGTGGATGGCTTGAAAAATGCGAGAGCTCTAAATCCTTCCATATCATTTGGCATATCCAGTACAAAATAATGGTCGCTTAAGTATGAAATATTTATTGAGGAGCCAACTTGCAATAACACTAAGACAGCGATGAACGATAGAAAAATCATTTCTTCGAAACGTATAGAAGTAAAGAAAATCACTTTCACCAAGTCAACATTCCGAGTTATTCGTTTGAAAAATTGGGAAAGTAAACCTAGAAGTTATACAAAGAAACAACGGTGCTCCAGAAAGGATAACATAAACTGAGGAAGAAGATGACAGATGGGAGCACAAATGATCAATAAGGTATTTCATGAAAGTTAGCAAATCAAGCAATATATCACAACCTAATTAATCAAACTATACATGACAATATAATTAAACGTAACCGAATAAAACATATTTGCACACGGCATTACTATTTTTGAAGAATTAGCATTCAAACCAATGGTGACCCCCGGATAGGCGCGAAAGGCTAGAAGTATAAGCTATACTCATACTCATGAGGAAAACAGCAATTCCTGATGAGTTATTCAATAGAAAATACTCACTGAATCTCCTCCTAATATGCGAGACACAGGGTCCCGTTGACGTAACCGCAACGATCTGCGGGGAGAACAATTATTTTTAGCGACACCATTTATGAGCATAACCTCCTGAAGTTGAAAGCAAAAATTAATAAATTACTACGATTCGAATCATAAAGGCATATTTCTAGTCATAATAACATCACTACGAAAGTTATCCACAAACAGAACCTGATTAACTTGAAGATCTATGTTAGTAGTTCGGCCCCATCTCCGGCCAACTTTGCGAAAGCCAGTCTTTTTCGGCTCAGAGGATTGAATGTCATCGGGAATAGAAGGCAGCAATTCTGATGAGTCCGCATCCAGCATGCCACCTTGTCCCCTAATAAAAAAAAAACATAACGCTTATGCCACCTCAACGTAGACTTCACGGTAGACGTGAACTTGTACAAACTGTTCTTTCTTCTCCTGAAGTAAATCGATCAATTGATTCAACATGATCGGCTCTACTTCGGCCCACTCCTTATCATTCATGTTAAAAAGCCACCTAAATGCAGAATGGAGTCAATGGAATACCATACGATGAGCGGTTTTGGATGGAAGCTTCAAATTAACATACGTGAAACAATGAACGAATCTGGATAAACATTGTCCCTTGACATATCCAGCGTTATTTTTTTCAAAATCAACAACACTATTAGTGTTTGATGCGAGTGGCGACTGAAAACAAAACTTTCCGTGTATTTACAAATGCCAGAAATAAAAGATGAAAAGACCGACTTTATAGAAGTAGACAGACTTTTTGCTCCACAAAGAATAATCAAGTCCGAAAAAAGGAGAAACCTGACGTGTAAGTCTAGATTTGATCTTCGAAGGACAATGTTCACGTTCTGGAGTTTGTTTTTTGCTTGGAGTGTTATCAAATATCTCTGGAAAAAATGGGTAAAAAAAGTAGTAATAGAACTTATGACTCATTTAAACAAAGTTGCACACTTCTTCCATACGAAGTAGAAATGGAAGCCGATGGTTCTTGATCCGTCAATGCCTGAAAACAAGAAATAAAAGCCAAAACGCACACAATGAATGCACAGCAAACAGATGAGCAACTAAAACAAAACAAAACAAACAAAAAAGACAAAACGAAAGACGAGCAGAGGAAGGACGAAACCAGAGAATAGCAGGGGAAAAAAGCTTACGCTAGAACAGTGGTAATTCCGTTTAACTGCCACATCAGAAAAGCTGCCACTAAACATATCGGAGAGATATGCAATCTACAAGCACTTAATAAAGCGGGGTAAGAACTCTGAAAGATGCTTCGTTGACTATACATTACATTTACGCTCAACCTGACGATTCAAGGAACATAATGAACCATATGAAAAAGGAGCTACACTGAAGACAGAGACCAGTGATCAACCTTAAGGATAAAGGATAAAGCTTTCGGCGTTGATCAATTCCTGAAGGATGTGCCATGCATTCGACTTTATTGGGTACCGTTGGAGGTGAATAAATGCATATCTGGCCTTTACAATGACTCGCAGTGACTTACCGATATATGGAGTCAGTACTGCTATCCTCCCAGACAAATCTGGTACCAATTTGCTGACCCCGGAGGAATGGAAGGCTTGGTGGGCCATGGGCACAGTGATCAATTCCACACGCGTGTCGCAATGGCGCCTCTACCCACTGCGCCACGCGCGCCCTTATCTTTAACGATCTTCCTCTTAAAGAGAGGATGAAAGATTTCTCAATATTCCTTCACAAATGCCTTTGCAGTAGTTGCCTATAACGATGTACTTTTTCCTGCACAATGTTTGGTATTACTTCATGATTAACAAGCTGCTAGAAGCTAGAAAGCAACTGATAAACGTGAGATACATAAACACCCAGTCCTAACCTAACTCTTTTTTCAAACGAACGAAGGACCCACATGATATGGTGGTGAATGCGTTAGACACCGCAAGGGTAATGGCGTTTTCGATCCCCATCACAGGCATTTGCGGTCGGGAGTTTTGCAAATGTCTCAGCGTCATTGTGGTTCTAAATTTCACATAATACGCTGCCGTGAAAAATCGCAGCAGGCAAGAAATAGAAGGTTAACTCTTAATATAAACAACATGTCCTTAAACCGTTGAGCTTACACGAAAGTGACGCTATAGCCTTATTCGGCTAAAATTTACACATCTTCGTCTTCATTAGAGCCGATGATCCGAGTCTACGGGCCACAGTTGTTGGACAACTCCATGTGCCATTCTAAGGTAACCTTACGTAGGGTCGCATGTAGTTTACATGAACTTCAAGATAGACTCCGCAAAAGAGCTAGGGATGAAGCGCAAAATAAGCGCGAACAACAAGGAGTAGGGGCACAGTACCACCATTTCCTCAACCGTTCTTTAGACAACAAGAGACCATTAATGAAGTCGATGTTAAATTTCGAATGTTTACGAACGAAACTTTCAAAGTCCTTAATCATCACTATCGCGCTAAGAGATACTGCTCCAACCTCACTGAAATACAAAAACGTGTTATGGGAGAGGTACGAGAGATGATAGGGTCGAAAAACATAAGACTATCAGTTAGTGATAAGGGTGGAGAGTTCGTTGTAATTCCCCATCAGTTAGATGTTGAAATAACGGAAAAGCACCCTAAAGATGCTTCCCTTTATCGTCCGTCGTCTGAGAAGGAATTTAAAAGTCAATACCGAAAGTTAAACAACGAATGGGTTAAAGTGGCAAGAGCGGCAGGGTTAAAACCATCAGTTATCTCTCATCTCAAAATTGACTTACCAACATGTCCCGCCCTGTACTTACTTATCAAAACCCATAAGTTAGTATCCAGCGATAATCTCGTGTCTACCGATCCACCGTTATTTAAGGTTAGACCTATCATTAGCTGCGTGGACGGACCAACGGATAGAATAACGTGGTTAATAACCCTAATACTTACTCAGTTGTTGAAGAACATTCCAGCTCATCTAACGAACACCCAAATGTTCCTGGATCGTCTACGTAACGCGCGACCCAACAGCGCGTACCTGGTGGAGTTCTTCGACGTCACTGCCCTCTATACGAACGTGTCGAATGACTCCGCTATGCAAGCCATAAGCGAGCTCCTTATACAACACGAAGGAGCAATAAACATGTACGGCTTCTCGATTCAGTAGTTCATGACACTCTTAAAGGAGTGCCTAAACTGCTCAATCTTCAGATACTCCGGGAGGTAATACGCACAAATGAGAGGGCTGGCAATGGGACAACGACTGGCACCAAGCCTTGCCATTGCATTCATGTCTTAGGTGGAAGCGCCAGTAATCGACCTCGGTCCGTTACTCTACTGTAGATATATAAATGACTGCTCTGTCCTTTGCTCAACACAAGAGGAAGCGGACAAAGTTTTTCGAGTTGTTGAACAAACAGTAAGAGTATATTAAATTCACCCGAGAGAAACAAAAGAAGACTGGCTTCCATTTCTGAACGTGCAAATTAGCCTATCAGAAAACGGCTACATTACGAAGTGGTATCGAAAGCCTAGTAGTAAAAACATCCTAGTTCATCACCTCTCCTCTCATCCCTCTCACACGAAAACGGCGCTTGTGAGAAACATGTATCGAACAGCTGCCAGCGTGTGTACAGGAAGACAGTAGAGAGAGGAGTCCCTGAACTTGGCGCGACAAATAGCCATTTTTAATGGTTACGAAACTGTAGCTCGAGATAGGTGTAGAGGAAACCACAGGTACCCAACGATAACTCTAGCAACAACAAGGTCCCGTTTATACCGACCTTCATTTCAAATGAAGTGAGTGCAGCTATAAAACGCTGTTTAAGAAGAGCCAGTCTAGAGAATTCGGTAACAATAATCGAAATACCACCGAGTAATCTAAGGTGCCAGCTAGTTCGTA